TTTTCCAAATTTGAATGAGCATTTCTCAGCATCTATAGTAGTATGGCGAAATCGCTGAGGGGTTGTGGATTTGGTTCAGTGCTGAATAGAAAACTCAGCATAAGTTCCATCAGGCAAGCGATTCTTCCGCAATAAGGCCCTAAACTTCGGTGTTTACCTAGTCTGATACAGTAATCACATTTCTTCCATATTTGAATTGGCATATCATCCTAGCAGGTTGACTGAGCAAAAAGGCAAGAAAAGCATCCAAAGAACACTTACTGTAGTATCATATGATCTAAAAATTACTGCTTCAGGGCAAGTCCTCTGTTTAGTACGGTGCTACAAACTTTGCACATCGCTACGTTTTCTGTAGAGATGGGAATCGGTCGAATTAAGGGGAGCCTATTGAGACATACCGTAAGAAAAATGCTATCCATCGGTATGAAAACAATGTCCTATCGACAAAGCCACTTTTTTCATCAACTTATTTTTTCGGAGGCTAAGGGGGTTGGCGATCAGTCTCTATTTGACTTCTGCGCTGTACATAGAATTGCAGATTCATGTATAAGGTTCCACATCGTTGAAACCAGCTCGTCGAGCTCTTTCCAGTGGTATTTTCAAATCACGGAAATATCTACATTTGAGCTTCCGATCCTACCAAAGTACCTAAGGAGACCGATTAACGAGCGCCGCTTGCCCTAATTATTACCAGAGGGGATAAGGTTCCACCAGGGGAACTTGACATTAGCACATTAGTTGATTTAATTTATTTATTTACTACCAGTCGGATCGCCCGGCTAACGCCGAGCTCTCCTCCTTCTTGGAAGCCCGGCTTCGCCGGGCTCATGCAACTGCTTTAGAGTCGTGACTAACCGCTGTCTTCTAATCAAATGAATGTAGAAACGCGCCATATGATCGCAGGGCACTTTCATAATTGAAAAGGTTTAAAAATCTGGTCAATGCGATAATCGATTATCGATACTCTCCTCCCCATCTTATGACAGCAAAGGATGCTTCGGTATCCGCAGTGAGACTGTTCTCTTCTGTTTCTTTGTTCACTGTTCAGGTGAGCGCCGGTCGCGCCAATATGGTACCCCTTCACCTCACCTATCCCCAAACTAACCTCAGCTATTCCCCGCTCAGCCACCCTACAGGTCACGCTCAGCTGCTACGCGAATAGCCCGTGCAATGGTTCTGAGTGCACTAAATGGTTGTGTTATGTTGTGGAGGGTGTTATGACTATCAAAACGCTACCACAATTTGATAATGCAACATTAATCGGTTCAGTTCCGATTGCGGTCGATCCATTTTCTTCTCATCTTATCGCAACCGTAGACGCCTTACCGCCGCAGGCGCTATGTGCTCCTAATCGCGAAATCGCCGTTCTCTGGTATCTCCCTCACCACATCATATCCCACTGACCCTAACTTAACTGGCGCCCACTCCCGCACGTGGTATGCAGCCGCCACGTGAGCAGCTGGTGCAACATAGGGACACTACGCCGCCACTGTTCTTACCACCGCCTTGCTCGTGCTCACGTCCAGCTCCCAAGCGAGCAGCTCCTGCAATAGCACAGAGTCTATCACAGTGGTTGGCTTAGATAGGGGAGCGATTCACAATCCAAACAGCTTCCTATCGTTGCTGTAACATGGATTAGCTTGCAGTTTTGCTAGCGGTTCTTTCCTTCTATCTTGCCGCCTGCTCCTATCCAAGCGTACGCTACGCATCCCCTTACTGTACCCAGTTTGCCCGATCCAATCCCTCTGCCTCCCTCCCCTGTATGGGCTCAAATCCGACTGAGCACACGCAAGGGAGGAGAACAGGAGAAGAGGTCACTCGGTACCCACTCCCACCTTCCTCACCTCATCCCTTTCCATACTCGCCACTCCCCTCCCCATCTTGCCCCTTGCGCGCGCTCACTACAACTACCACACGAGAAACCCGTGCAATGGCTCGGGAGTGGTGGTCCTCTTATATAGTGGAAAGTGTTGTTATTATGACCAAAACAACTTTTCAATGCGTAACGGTAACATGGATTAGCCTGCGGTTTTCTTATCGGTTGTTCCCTCCTCCTTTGCTGCGCGTTTCTACTCAAGCGCGCGCTACGCACCCCTCCCCTGCACCCCTTCGGGGGCCCCTCCCTCTGCCTCCCTCCCATACACGTGCTCAGCTCCGGCTGAGCACGTGCAGGAGAGGGAGGCAGGGCGACCCGGTACCCCCACCCTGCCCCCGCACGAGCACACGTCCAGCTGCCACGCCAGCAGCTCGTGCAATGGCTCGGAGTGTACCGAATGGTTGTCTTATATAGCGGAGGCTGTTATCACAATCAAATCATTGGACTGCTACATCCTCCCAGTCGGTTACCGGTTTGCCTAGCGGTCGTTTTCGCCTCCAGCGAACTCGAACCCGTGAAGTATTTTTGCGGTGGAAAGCGACAGACACAACAAGGTGAGGCAGTATACGCTGACAGACCTACATACGTACAAACATTACAAACCGAACACACAAGTTACTGGTTTATAGAATGAAAGGATTGCGACTAACAATGCAATAATCAATACGGCGAGTGGAGACAGAAAATTGCAATAGAGATGGAAAAAACAGTATAGGTAGTAAGGTACAGAAAAACTTGGGCAGGAAGGGGGTGTGCGTGTGGAGGGGAGGGCCAGACAAATTGGAGAGGAAAGGGCAATGCGCCGCCAACATTGCAAGCCACTGCGTGGATGGCCCCGGATACCAACTTAGTAGGTCCGCCAAACCTCTCCATAGGCCCAAGCGAGGTAGGGAAAGCGGGGGAGGGAGGAGGGGAGGATATAACTTAGTAATAGGTGGTTACATACTGAAGAAGGCTGAAGAAATGAAGGAAAAAAAACAAGTATTCACAACAACATGGATGAACTCTGAGGCTAAATAACTAGAAAAAAATTGCAGATCAAAATTATGACAGCACTATTTTGTAATGAAGGTTGCCTGAGGAATCTGCGGCTTCTCTCGAACGGTGCTTCTCACTTTGATACTGAACTGAACTTTGATACTACACACATGAATTCAAATTTCAGCCGTACTACTAAAGGACCTGTAGAGTGGATTTGTTTCTGAGCATTTCCATTCCAGCCATTCAGGAGGGACATGGGGGATGTAGGAACTTTGTGCAGTCCACTTTTTCGCACCTCTTCTCTCATAGTGGCAGAGTCGCCTGCGGTGTGACCTCACTTTAATTGCTTGCTCGCTGCCTCCTGACCTCTCATCGCTACACCTCAGCTTACGCTTATTATTGACTGCAATCTATTTTCCTTCCTCTTACACATATTCAGTGTGGCAGCCAATATAAGTATGTCACTCCACTGAAGCCGTTCTCTGACTTTTTGTTGAGGACAAAACGACTGTTGCGACAAAAAGTGGTAGAAAACGAGTAATACGAAGGATATGATACAGTATTGTCACTTGCCCGCTTCAACAACTGGTGTAGAACGAGTTTGGCACCGCGCCAAACGCAGCCGCACGACACGCCCAACCGTCCGCAGCGAACTGCACTATGACAAAAGCGCTATGAATCATCCAAGGATTAGTGTCGAAAGCCAGCTTGGAAGTCACTGGCACCATTGGGGAAAGCACAAGATTTTCGATATACTTTTCAGAACAATATAGTGCTATCATAATGTGCTAATGTCAAGTGCCCCTAGTGGAACCTTATCTCCTCTGGTAATAATTAGGGCAAGCGGCGCTCGTTAATCGGTCTCCTTAGGTACTTTGGTAGGATCGGAAGCTCAAATGTAGATATTTCCGTGATTTGAAAATACCACTGGAAAGAGCTCGACGAGCTGGTTTCAACGATGTGGAACCTTATAAAAGAATCTGAAATTCTATGTACAGCGCAGAAGTCAAATAGAGCTGATCGCCAACCCCAGCCTCCGAAAAAATAAGTGGATGAAAAAAGTGACTTTGTCGATAGGACATGGTTTTTACATCGTTGGATAGCATTTTTCTTACAGAATCCAAATACAGGTTTCAATAGCTCCCAATAATTCGGCCGATTCCCATCTTTACGGAAAACGTAGCGATGTGCAAAGTTTGCTGCACCGTACTGAACAGAGCACTTGCCCTTAGTATTAGGTCGTTGCAAAAGAAATGCAGGATTTTGCTTGCTTGTATTTCATACTTATTTTATTCCAATAATATGTTACTTTAATATGAAGTGTTATATACTATTCGGAAGCTCATCTCATGCTCTTTCTAAATGATACTCCAAGATTGGTTGTAATTCATTTTATTATAATTTTTATTGACATTTTATTGCAGATGTCGAAACGTGAATTTCGCACTATTTTCTTCTATGAGTT